AGGCGGCAGGACACACAGGGAAGATGCTCATGTGTGAGAGGCTGCTGTGTGTCCAGACAGGGCAGAGCGCACAGACAGCCCTGACACGGTCAGATGTGCGTGAGCAACGCGAGGGTCCATCCGAAGCGGACAAGACCAGATGCAGGGGTGAGAGGCAGGGCCGGACCGGGCACTGGCAGGCCCAGCGGGGCTGGGCAAGAGAGAACGAGCAAGGACATGGATTAACGACCGCTCCCAACAGAAACCGACCAGGCTCTTATTTGTTAGGTTTGTCACGAAAGACACATGGAGGAAAAGGCTGAACTTGTCAAGGATCCCATTTTCCTTGGATCTACAACCAAAGTCCATGGAAGCAGCAGTCTGGAAACCAAACAACAGATCTCTCTGGGCACATCTGCTGCAATACACCTCTTTAGAGATGGGAAAGCAACGGTGTTACTGTAAGGATTAAGGTGTGCCTGAACCAAGCCTGGTACTGTCCCAACACCCCACATGCATGTGAAAGCTCAACAGTGAATAAGGAAAATGATCCTCTCAACTCAACTGTGGTGCTGACAGAGAGGAGTGAGCACACCACGGACTGACTGCCAGACGACCAGCGAATGACTCTGCCAGGAAGTGCAGGCAAAATACTCCAGAGAAGCCGGGATAAGGAGAGCACGTCTAACATCCTCTGGAATGGTCAGTCCCCAGAGGAGGACCTCATGCTCAGTAGAACAGAAGGTCACCAAAACAGAGGAAGATCTGAGAGAGGAAAATGTTACTGAAACAGTGGCTACAACACAGCCGTGACTGTCAAAATGCTGGATGACCAGGCAGTGTGTTCTGTTCTGTTCTACACAGGGTCACCATGCGTCACAACCGACTTGATGGCATCTAACAACTGCATCAGGTAAGACACACAAGTCATTAAGAGTTAAAACGTTATTTCTGAGGTGTGGACTGAGTTGGAATGATGACGTCACCTCTCCCTCTGAAGAGGTAAAACTCACCTGATAAAGTCCGAGGAACCTCCCCCTGAACAGAAATGTTGACCTGGGGCATGTCCATAGCCACAAAATTATCTATTTGAAATCCAAGCTTATATTCAACCTAGGGAATGAAGAGAAACAAATGGCATCTGTGGCAACAGAAAGAACATTAGGAGTTTGACTCTGTTGATGAGACAGTTCATTAATCAATAAACAAGCATTTCATGTGAACAAACTTCCAGAAACAATCCTACGATTTTTCAACTGGATTAAATGTAACCCATCCTCAATTTTATGTATAATAAATGAATTACCACCAATCTAGGGTTAGACTGGAGAAGCACTCAGATTTTCTCCCAACCCATCTCATTCACATTTTCAAGTTCCATTTTTACCATTAAAAAAGTTGACATTTGAGTCCCTAGATCTACTTCTCAAGTGACATAGAAAACGGAGAATAAGTGACCAACATGACATCCCTAAAACATTAATGCTGTTCCGGTAATACTCTAACTGACGGCCACTGAGTCAGAGCTGACTCATAGCTGACCCTCCAGCAGGTTTTTAGAGGCTGTAAGACACACGGAAGGACTTTTCTCGCAAATACAGAGCAGTTGGTGGATTCAAACTGCCTGCATTTAGGTTGACAGTACAACTCCCAACCCACTAGGCCACCACAGCTCCCTAAAACATAAATATATCTATTAATAACAGGCCACCCCAATGTGGCTTAACTGAACCAACCTGTGTCAATAAATACATCCCTGTTGCTACAGAGAAACGTTTATTAGAGAAACAGCTCAAACGGTAAAGCACCAGCTGAAATTCAGAATGGCGGCACCTTCAAGACCTCCCATGAGGCTTCCTAATTCAGGTCACTCTCTCCTGCCCGAGGGCTGTAACGAGAGCAGCACTCCTGTGTCCACTTAGTGATTACAGTGCAGTGGGCTGGAAAAGCAGTGGGAGGAGAGAGTCCCGAAACCATTCATTATGTTTAACCCGAGAGACTGGGACAGGCAAGTGAGATGAGGGAGGCAGGGAGATGAAGGAGGCGAAACCTTTTCCCCCCTCTTTTTAAAAATGGAAAAGACTGAATTCTGTTTATATGATAATAGCAAGGGAGCTCCGGTGGCCTAGTGGCAAGAAATGCACTGCAATCCCAGAGGTACGCAGTTCGAATCCACCAGACGCTCTGCTGGAGAAGGAGGGGCAATTTCCTCCTGTACCAGTCAGATCTGATTTGCCGGTACACACACACACAAAGAAATAATAAAATAAAAAAAAAATTTATATGAGAATAGCAAGAGTCAACAAAATGGGGCAGATTAAAGATGAAAGAGTACCATCCCAGGCCACAGGGGAAAGATGGGCCTTGGGTACAGGTGGGAAGGAATGTTACGAGGGCAAAAAGGGTTCAAGCCCATGAGCTCAGCTCCCGTCTGGCTTTCTCCTGTCAGTCTACGTGAAGGTTCCTGTTCGTACACAATTGTATGTTAGAACACAGAGAACTGTATGTTCTGTATGTCAGGCACACGAACAACTATCACAGACTGTATGTGGCATGATACCTTCATGACGGAGGAAATGCTTCCTGTTAACACTCAGCACTCGGTGGTACACTGACTGCTCAGTACTCCCTGTACCTTACAACACTAGCTGCCATCCAAGATGATTTCCTCACACAACAGCCTCATGCGTCTGCAGAACTGGGCTCCACAGACCTCTGCATGGCTGACGTTTCCAGATGTGGGACCACACTTCTCTGTCAAGTTAACCCTCTGGGGGGACTTGAACTTCTGACTTTTCAGTTAGCCACCAAACGTATTCACCATCTGCACCACGTAAGAGGGTAGAGTGTACAAGAGGTCAGACCACAAACCCCAAGTTCGGCAGTTTAAATCCACCAGCCGCTCTGCAGGGTAAAGATGGCAACTCTCCTCCTATTAAGATGTGCGGCCGTCGAGACCCCAGGGCAGGATGCTGAGCCAGCCCTGGTGGCGGTGTGACGAGTTGCTAAGCAGTGGTCTGAACCTACCAGCTGCTCCGCAGAATAAAGGACTGTCTCCTCTCACTGAAATTTACAGCCCTGGACGCCGGACAGATGGAGGGTCCCCGGTGAGTTCGTATCAAGTGGACAGCGATGGGGTTTCACACACGCTCCTCTTAAAATGTCACCACACCATCACTGCCACCCGGGAGGACCGGAGAGCTACAACCGTAAAGGCCGGTCCTGGAACAGGCAGGATTCCTGACAAAACTCAATCAATCAGCAGCGATCCCTCCAGCACTGACCCTTCCTCCTCTGTCTTTTCCAGTCTTCACGACCTGTTGCCCTCCCTGCCTCCTCAGACAATGCCCTTGGCCCCTTTGGCAAGCAAACACAAGCCCTTTTAGCATCTTTCCTTCTAAGGACCAGGGGGACCTGTCAGAGCACCCACCGTCTGCACCCCATTCCCGTTCCACTTTCCAAATCACAGCTTCTACAGCTCCACTGCATCCGGCACATTTCACAACTCGGGGATCTTGCAGCATCAACTGGCCCTTTCTCTCTCTCCCCTTCCTCCTCACTATCTCCTCCCCGTCCAGCCTCCTTCTAGACACATCCACCTAACAATTCTACAGCCTCAAACTGAACAGATTCCAAGTCAAATTTATTCTCTTTCCTCCCACTTGCTTTATTTTAGGTCTCAAGTCCTGAAGTCATCCATCCACTCAATCCCTGGGCCAGATGCTTCGGAAGGATTCCAACCTCTCTCCTCCTCTCATTCGATGACTAGTAAATACTGGCGTTTTCACCTGCGGTCCCCCTGCTCTCTAAGTGAGCACCCCGTCCGAGTCTAAGCTCTCTGTTTCTCCCGCTCACTGCCAGAGGACCTCAAGCCTCTCCCTGGCTCGTCTTCCCACACCCAGTTCACCTCTGTTCCCTCTTCATTATAGCCATGCCTGTTGTCTCAGAAGGCAGAGCGGCTTAAAAATCTCTGTCGTCAGAACAAATTCTTTTTATACACTGCTGTCTCTAACCTCAGGGAGCTGGACAATGACTAGGGATGGTCGAAGGAGAATCGATGCCTTTGAGCTGTGGTGCTGGAGAAGAGCACTGAATATACTGTGGACTGCTACGAGAACAAACAGGTTCATCCTGGAGAGGTTGAAGCCGGGCTGCTCCTTGGAGGTAAGGATTCTGAAGCTTCATCTGACATACTTTGGACATGTTGCAAGGAGGGACCAGTCCTTGGAGAGGGGTATTATGCTTAGGAGGGTGGAGGGACAGTGCAGGAGGGGAAGACTCTCAATGACTAAATGAGATGGACTGACTCAGTGACTAGGGGACAGGAGGTAGGCGTGTCAGAGACAATAAGGTTGGCACAGGATAGAGCAGGATTCAGAGTTGTGCATAGGGTCGCTATGAGTCACTCGCAACAAGTCAATACTTTTCACACACACACACACACACACACACACACACACACACATCTAACCTCAGTCTATCCTTAGAGATCATCTTTTTCTTCCCCTCATTCTTAACTCTACTCCTAGCATTCTAAAATCAAGTGATATGAGCTTTTTCGATTTCTCGGGATTCTCTGTAACCATGCCATTGTTCTTGTTGTTGTTATGTGCTGTCGAGTTGCTTGCGACTCATAGCGACCCTATGTACAACAGCCCTAAACTCTGCTCTGTGCTGTGCCAATCTCACTGTCTCTGGCACTCCCATCCCGATTACCCCAGTCACTGAATCAATCCACCTCATAGAGGGCCTTCCCCTCCTGCGCTGTCCCTCCACCCTCCCAAGCATGATGTCCCTCTCCAAGGACTGGTCCTTCCTTACAACATGTCCTAAGTATGTTAAACGGAGCCTCAGAATCCTTGCCTCCAAGGAGCCGCTCGGTTTAACCCTTTCCAGGACGAATCTGTTAGTTTTCCTAGCAGTCCATGGTATTCTCAATACTCTTCTCCAGCACCACAGCTCAAAGGCATCAATTTCTTAATTTCTTTCTAGAATTCTTCCACCTTTCTCTTCCTGGAAAGATTCTATTATTCATCCATTCAAGATCTAGATCTACCATCTCTGTTTCAGGAAAGCGATCTGCACAAGCAGATCTGGCTGCTCCAACCTCAGCGTGCTGGCCTTTTGACTCCTGTCTCTCTACCAGCACGAAGGCCTTGTATCTGTTAAAAAAGATCTAACCATCGAGATGGGCTGACATGGTGCTGGCAGCAAGGGGCTGAGGTGTACCATCGATGATGAGGATGGCACAGGACACGACAAGGTTTCAGATCTGTCGTTCACAGGGTCGCTGGCACCTAACAACAACAACAATCACCAAACGGAGCAAAGCAAATGCAAACGTCACGTGTCACATCTCTTCCTCATATTGCTCAGTGTCTCGCATGCCAGATACCTTTGAATGAGTACATGAGGGGACAAAGCCAAGATGGGACCATAACACTAACAGAGCTACTTTCTGAGGGTGACACACAAACTGGTTCTGAGGACACTGGTGAGTGAGTAAGAGGGCCTGCCGGGGAACCAGGGACATTCACATTTCTCCTCCAACAGACAAGAGTCACAACCCAGTTAGCCCTAAACTGCGGCAGAGGCACCAGGGCACACAACACCAGTAAAGGAGGAAGAGAGCCAGCTGTAGGGGCTGAAAGGTATGGACACTGGTCAAGGGCCCTCCCTGAGGCACCAGCAGGAGAGGGGACACCACCAGCAGTCCAGCACTTCAGTGTCGTGAAGGGGAGGACAGGAAAAGGGAGAGAGATGAGCCTGTCATGGAACCATGTCGTCTGGAGTGTGGGGACATGGAGAAGTGGCTGGTTAGGAGGCCTGAGAAGGCAAACTCTGTAATCCTAGCAGCCTCCTGGAAGTGTAAGAAGTATGAGAATGTGGAACATCCCCGTTGGAGGGAGCTCGCGTGGCTCAGTGGTAAGGTACTGCACTGTCACCACAAAGGTATGCGGCTCAAATCTACTCCATGGGAGAAAGATGGGCAATATCCTGTCATGCGATTTACAGTCTCTGAAAACCCACTGAAGGAGGCAGTTTTTGAGAAGATTCTCTTTGTCCTCTCAGATCTGCAATAAAGTAGTACTTCTGATATTAAAAAAAAAAATCACAACCCATTGAAGAGTCAGCAATGGGTCAGTTCCACCTCGATGGTTCTCAGCACACACGGCACACCCTTTCGCAGGGGCTGTCTAAGAGACGAGACATTCAAATAAAGGCAGCTTCCTTCATCCCTCTCAAGCCCGTAAGGTAACAATTTTAAAACCACAGTTCCTTGGATCAGAGCTGACCAGGAAAGGCCCCATTTACTGAAGTCCAAGTTCCTCCAATTTGGCATGTACTGAAAATTCTTTTTGAAGGAACAAATGTGTACAAAATCGAACAATCATAATCTACTGTAACAAAGGAAAGCTGAACAGCTGTTTACGGGTGGGGAGGCGTGGGGGATTGGGGAAGAAGGAGCCAAAATACGTCAGAAAAGGAACTGGAGAAAATATAAATATTTGAATAAACTAAAAACGAAACATTTCTGGTCATCCACCCTCGTCTGAAAACCAAAGGCAACATCAAATAGCTGGCTGATGAGTAAAGCCGTTTCCGTTAGGAAAATGGACAGAGGAGACTTAAGCTTCTCCATGTCTACGGTTTACCAGAAGCACTGGCTTTCTCACAGAAGGCTCACTCTGCGGGGGACAGAAGTGGGCTGGACCCCAGCAGGACTGCAGTAGGAGCTCTGGACATGTTCCCTGCAGCCCCCAGAGTCATTGATGATTTCCTAACACACACACACACACGCACGCACGCACGCGCGCGCGCGCACACACACCCCTCCCACTGTGAAGCACTCTGCCAGAGTGGTTACATCCTGGCCTCTCAGCTATCTAAAATCTCTACTGATACTTAATAGAGGTAGTTAGATGTGTCTGCTTTGGGGTTCTGGTCTTGTATTGTTGGGGTTTTCCCCAATATATGAAAGAATGTTCTGGAACACAGAGGAAAGCTGTCTCTTTCTCTTTGAGTGTGTGGCCTGGTGAAAGAGAACCATTATCAGAGTTCTTATCCCACTTTGAAATGCAATTGACATGATGGTATATAATGCCCACTTACTAAGGCAGGCGTGACATGTGTGTCAAGAAAAAGAGAGTCTCAAACAAAAAGAAAAAGAAAAAGACAGTCTCAGTCTCTGGGGAGACTACAGCATTCCTTCTGAGCATCCCCAGAAAACAGAATTATGTAAAATTGGAGAACACAATTAGCATGAGCATTGATGTGTGAAAACTAATGCTGGATTCAAACCCTAGGGAGCTTGGGAATCTTCAGACGGAATTATCTTTTAGTAAAATCTTTAAAAACAAGAGCTCAGGGTCTGTAACGAAGAGTTAGAGCTGGAAATCACAAGATTATTTTTACTTTCCCAGACAAAATTTGACTTAGAAGCCTATGCATAACAAAGCTGAGTGCCAAGAGGGCTTGCAGTGACCACAGGCAGCGAAGACAGGGTCCCATGCTTGGCCTCCCCCACCCCGATGTACGAGAAAACTCATCAGGTTTCCAAGAGCCCACGGAGTGAGAAGAAATGTGAGGAATCCAGCAACATGAAAACCAAAGACAAGATGCTTCAGGGTTTGTCTTCCAGCCCCACGTGACCACAGCATGCCTGGGTGTCTGTGTCTGCAGCATCTTCTTAGCTGTGTGTCTCCATAAATGGGCGAACTATCTACATTCCGGCAAACACGTTTAAGACCCCGTGTCTCACTAGCCACCTCCCATTTCACTTCTTCACCTACAAGCCACAGTCACCAGCACCATGGCGCTTCTCAGACTAGAAGGGCATCCCTGTTGGAAAAGCCCGTGAGGATCCAAGTGCCCCAGCACATGCTAATCACTTAAATGATGAGGACCTTCATTTTAAGGGTCTGAGAAATCTGAAAGGAATAGGCTAAAGATTTGAAATACAGACGTGAAGGCAGAATTCCACCCCCACCCCCAGCCACCCACCCACTTGCTCAAGGGGCAGCCCACTCCACCCCCGGCCTTGCCAGGTCTCTTACCTTGGACTTCGCATGCCAAGTGAAATGCAGGAAATTTGTCTCACTGGGTACTAACAGGTTAAAGGATAGAGCGTAATGGCTAATAAGGTCATTTCTCACATAATAAAGTTCTGCATCAAGACCTAGGGGGGAAAAATAGAGGAAAAGATGAGATGGAAAATAATTAAACATCTAAAATATGCTCAAAATCATTCATAATCTGTATTTCAAAACAAATATCTGCTGCAATCAAAAGGATTCCCACTCTCAGGGATGCTGGGAGGCAGACTACAACTATATACAGTTCCGAGGCTGTAGGTCTTTAAGGGCAAGCTCTGGTGGCCTAGTGGTTAAGGAGCCAAGCCAAAGGTGTATGGTTCGACTCCACCAGCTGCTCCACAGGAGAAAGATGGGCAGTCTCCTCCTGCGTGACTTACTGCCTCTGAAAACCCGCTCGAGGGTCAGGTATGAGTCAATTCCAACTCACCAGTACCAAGCAACAACAACTGTTAATCTAGCGGTATGAAGCTACACCCCCAGCCCAAAAGCAAGTGGTTCAAATCCACCAGCTGCTCTGCAGGAGAAAGATATGTAAACTCCTCCCACATGATTCACAGCCTCTTGAAAACCCACTGGAGGGTCACTTAATAGTTGATTTCATCTCAGTGGCACATAAAAACAGTAAATCTTTGTGGAAGCAAGTTATCTCTTCTTTCTCCTTCAGAGCTGGATTTGAACTGCCAACCTTCTGGTTAGCAGCCAAATTCTTTAACCACTGTGCCACCAGAGTTCCTTAAACTAGTAACAGAGTGAAGATAATACTGGTATTCAAATCTTTATCCCAAACAGCTCTCACATATGCCATCTTATGAAGCAGGTTGAATACTAGGCTTTATCTAACCTGGGAGGGTCTGGAGAACATTATGCTAAGTGAACTAGCTCAGTCCCATAAGGACAAATACTACGTACGATTATGACTGCAGAAATAGAAAGATAGCTAGTAAAACATGTAAGAGGATCCAAGGGGCTGAGGGTAGGAGCAGAGGGGTGAGAATGGGCAGGGGGCCACACAGTTTGATGGGCAGAGGGAGGGATGGGTAAAAGAAATGGAAAAGATTGGTGTGAAAAACAATGCATACAAGCTTTGTAAGTAAATCAACAGAAAATAAAAATTTTATTTAAAAAAGAAAAAAGGAGGAAGAAACTGAGACAGACTCAAAACAATCAGGTCACTATCCAGCTAAAATCTGGTGCGACCTTCTTCTTTATGGACAGTGCTTCTTATGGTAACTTCTATAAAGAGAGGCCCCTTCTCTCTCCTACATGTAATGCAGATTTATGAAGAGATAAGGGATTTTGGTCAAAATGTAAGTTAAAGCCAAGGCTTCAAGTTCACAGCCAAAGATGACCTCTGCTTCTATGAAGGACTCCTGCCAGACTCAAGCCCTACCTCCTTATCTGGATGGCGGTATAGGTTCAGATCCTATGGAACCTACATGTGACACAGGCCCTTCTTTTGGAGTTCTGATGGCACAGTGGTTAAAGCTCTTTTGGCTGCTAACCAAAAGGTGCGTAGTTTGAACCTACCAGCTGCTCCAAGGGAGAAAGATGTGGCAGTCTGATTCTATAAAGATTTACAGCCCCAGAAATCCGATGGGGCAGTTCTACTCTGTCCAGAGGGCCCAGATGAGTCAGGATGGACTCTGACAATGGGTTTGTCCTCCCCCTTTGCGTGCCCACTCCTCGCTGCCCTCAACATTCAGACGCGTTTGCTATGTTACAGTCTGTTAGCATGCATGCACATGTTAACTTTCCTACTTAAGAGTTCCTCAAAAATTTTGTCATCATACCCCAAGGCTAATTTCCCTGCACAAAGCAGACTCAACAGAGCTCACTGCGTGTCTGATTCTGGTTCACAGCGACCTGTAAGGCAGACAGGATGAGGACGCGCTTGATCCAAGCCACGGGACCTTCAGTCGCTTCCTAGGCTTCTGAAGGGTGGACGACGAGGCAAGAAGACTGAGGAAGAATCGCTGCCTTTGAATTGTGGTGCTGGAGAAGAGGACTGAATGTACTATGATCTGCCAAGTGTGTCTCAAAGGATGTGCAGCCACAGTGCTCTTGAGAGGGAAGGACGGTGACATTTAGCCTCAGTTTGGGCAAATTTTCAGGAGGAATCCGTCCTTGGAGAGAGACATCGTAGTGGGTACGATGAAGAGTCAGTGAGAGAGAGGACGACCCCCCCGCAAAAGATGGACTGACAAAGTGAGCCCAGCAATGAGCTTGAACAAGACAGGCCGTGGCGATGGTGCAGGGCGGGCCACGGTTCAGCTCTGCTGTTCACCGTGCTGTTAGGAGAGGGAGGACTTGGAGGGCACCGAACCACCACAAGCCAAAAGGACTCCTTCTATTTACGTTCACGCCATCACGTTACACTACACCCCTCAACCCCCACCCGCCCCATCTTTCTCAACCATTTGGCTACCTCATTTGATTCTAGAACCAGTTTATAAAGCTTCTGTCTGTGCCTCCTTTGATGACCTCATGACGACAGACCCCTCAAGGACCTACAAAACCAACCCCATCAACCGCCCTTTATTCCTGAACTCCAACATGACACTGCGATGGGCAGCGGCAATATGGAAGACTGGACCTCTGAAATCTTAAACTGTAATAGTGCCGGAGCCAGGAGCTTTCAGCTCTTTCTCTTGCCTGTTACCATTGCTGTTCTCTGGGCTCGTTAAGATCACGAGTATGTTACTGCTCTGTTTCTTCCAATCCATCATATCAACCATTTCCTCATCATCTCATTCAGCCTTATTGTCAGTTACTTCAACTCCTTTCTTGCCAGTCCCTTTAACCTTCTCCGGATGGCCCATCTCACATATACACACCCACACTGAAAACACCCAAGGTGGAACTGACTTTTCCTCATTTTCTCTACCGCTACAGCTGAATGCTGCATAATCTTAAACAAAAGTATTTCCACAACTGAGAAGCATCAGAAAAACGATGGCTCCTGTCATCAACAAATAAATCAAGACGCTGGCAGGTAAAGCCTCATGACATAAATCTCTATGAATATTTGAAATTCTCTTTTGGACTGAGGTGGTGAAACTGCAATACACTCATTAAATAGAGCTGCTGTTTCTTGGCTAAGAGTTTTCAAGCATTTATGTTAAAATATAACTTATTAGATAAGGTAGTAATTGCCAGTTTTATACTACTTTAATTCTTCAACAAGATCATTACAATTAAGCCTCAAATGTTCACCTCTAACATTAACAAGCTCTATCAGAAATATGTTCCTGTAATATCAGTTAGCTTATAAAATGTAAAAACTCACTGCCGGGAAAGATCCAGTGTGTAAAACGATGTATATGAACTTTGTAAGTAAAGCAGTATAAAATAAACATTTTATTTAAAAATAAAAACAAAATTCATTGTCATCAAGTCAGAACCAAGTCATCGCTGACTTCCCGATGGTTCTCAAGGCTGCGGGTGCACGGGAAGATACTACCCATCTTCCTGTCACGGAGCAGCTGCGGATTCAGACCTTCTGCTTTGGGTTGGCAGTGCAATGCTTACCCACTAAGCCAGCAGAGTGCCAGCGTTAGCTTCTAAGTGGCTAGTAAATAAAACCACAATGCCAAGGTAACCTGGAAGTTAATGCCAGGTTACTTACAACTTTCCCTAAACAAGAAGAGCTTAAAATAGCAGGAAAAGAATTTGGTTGTTGGTGTTCATTGTGTAGTAAAAAAAAAAAAA